GAATTCCCTCAGGTGAGCAGGTACTGAGGGGTTTACGGGGACAAAATTCCCTCAGAATCAGGTACTGGGATTTAGGAGGATGGAATTCTCTCAGGAGAGGGGTCTTGAGGGGCAGAATTCCCTCGGGAGAGGGCTCTTGAGGGGCAGAATTCCCTCGGGAGAGGGCTCTTGAGGGGCAGAATTCCCTCAGGAGAGCAGGCACCAGGATTTTAGAGGAGCAAAGCTCCCTTGGGAGCGGGTGCCAGGGGTTTAGGGGAGCAGAATTCCCCTCCAGGAAAGCAAGGGGGTACCAGGAGTTGAGGGGAGCAGAATTCCATCAGGAATTGTCTCCTCAGGAGAGAGCAAGTATCCCTAGATCAGGCAGGAGGAGCCTCTTTGCTGAGGGACAGCAACTCTGTGAGAGGGAAGTGTAGCTCCCACGCTGAAAATTCCCAAATTCAGGAGACACAAGCCTGGAGAGAGCATTTATTCCCAAGAGAAAATGAAGCCAACAGGGGACGAGCCGAGGTAGATGCTCCGGTGACCCGCCCGGCTCCCGGCACACCTTGGGGTCACTCCAAACCACCAGGAATTCCTGAACCCCAACATGAGCCAACCCCAGCATCCCACCAGGGATTTACAGGCAGGAATTGCCCAAGATTTCCCCCTTGGAGAAGCCCCTTCCCATAGCAGCCAGCAAGTGGAGCCCCTCAGACCAGGCCCAGGGGCAGAGGGGCAGGGAATTGGGGGGTGTCCCTGGCTTTTGGGGGGGACCAGCACATCCCAGCCAGCAGCACAGTGGGAGGAGGATGCCGTAGCCCTGGGATTTAGGAGCGATGGAGGCAGGATCCCATTCCAGCAGCTTCAGTGTCAGACTTCAGGAGCAGCCAGCTGCAAAGAGACCAGCAGGTGTTTTGGAAAGGGTGCAGGATTTGGGGGGACCCCACCCCCAGCACCCACCACCCACGGGGATTTGGGACCTCCTCCCCATTCCCAGAGCAGAGGGGTAGATGCTCCAGGATGCTCCCTGGGGATTGGGGTGGGAAGTTTTCCCAGGGAGGGGACAGTGATGACAGCAGGATGGGGACTGCCATCCCAGGAGCCATCCCAGTGCCGATTCTGCTCGTAGCCAGGCTATTCCTGGGATCACCTCGCTGTAGCTGGGAGGCTGAGGCAGCTCCGCCGGTGGCACGGCCAGATCCACACGGGTGGCACTGGGGACGATCAGCATGGCCTGGGAAACACCAGGATTACGGGAGACACTGGGATCATGGCATGCAGTTTTTGGGATCCAGCCCCACCACCCCCTCATCCTACCTCGTTGGAGCTGAGGCGGGTGGCCCGGCACCAGAAATTGGCGGTGGCCACGGCGATGCAGAATTCCAGGATGGTGAAGATGAGCAGCACGATGGAAATCCCATTCCCTGCGAGCTCCAGGATGGGGAAAACCCCATCAGCACCCCCCCAGGAGGATGAATCCCACAGAGGGCAGCGTTCTGTGGCTCCCCCTTCCTCTCTCCCTCTGCATCCCCAGCTCTCAGGTCTCACTCCAAGCCCTCCATGCCGTGTTTTTATGGCTCATGGACGCTTCCAGGGGGTGACTCATCTCCCGAGGTACCAGCCGAAAATAGGTCGCGCCGGCAGAGGAGAAACCGCCACCCCAACAGGGATTTGGGAAAGGACACAACACCCCTGGAGGGCTGGAGAAAAGGCCCCAGGGGAATTCCCAAGGGCAGGAATTGCGCCAAGTGGGATTTTACCAGGACGAGATAGCTGTAGTAGTTGAAGCTGGAGCGGTAGAGCCCGTTGAGGTTGAGGTCCACGATGAAGGCCACGATTCCCAGGAGCGCAAAGATGGCACTGATGACGTTCATGGTCTGGCTGCCCTTCACCTGTGGGCACCCAGGGGGTTTGGGGGAGGCTGGCAGACCCCCCCCAAAACACCAGAGGGACACCTCGCCCACCCCATGGACACCTGACCTCGCCATTCCCAGCGTGCTCCCCGGAAAACTCACCGCGCATTCCGTGGGGCTCTTCTCGGCGCCGATGGAGAGGCACCCGGAGATGATGAACTGCAGCAGGAGAGACGGGGCTCAGCTGGCACCGAGGGCACCCCAAGCACCCCAAACCTGCCCAGAGGTGGCACTAACAGGGCACAGGGGACACGGTGACCCCCCTGCCCTTGTTTTCCAGCTGCCGAGGCCTCGGGAGCCGCAGGTGCATCATTCCCGGTGGGCATCCCTTCCAAAGGGGGTCCCACCTGCTGGCATCCCCCCAGCAGGATTCCCTTCCCTGTGGGCATTGTCCCCTGGTGAGTTTCCCTTCCTGGTGGGCATCCCACCCCCCTAGGCATTCTTTTCCTGGTGGGAATCCCTTCCCAGCCCCCGGCACGCACCGACACGCCGCCCAGGAAAGGGATCTCTCCGATGACGAAGACCGAGGTGTAGACATTGGTGAGCGTGGTCAGGACGATCCCGAAGCCGATGTGCAGGAATCCCGTCATAATCTGGATGGTCTGGAGGAGAGGGATGGGAGGGAATGGGGTCAACTCAACCCCCCTGCCCACAGAGCCACCCTGGGCATGGTGGGATGGGGGATGCTCAATCTGGGGGATGCCTCAATCCCAGCGCCTCTCCAGAGCCGCAGCACCCCTGAGGGATCAGCAGGAATCCTCCGGGAAGGGGCTGAGGGGGGATTTTCCAAGCGTTTCTCCCCCCGACCCCCCCAGACTCACCCCCATGACGCGGTTCTTGCCCTTGGGGAGGGTCTCCGCCGTGTACATGACGGCGCGGCTGCCCAGCCGGAGGCTCCCCATGCCCTGCATGAGGAGAGCGGGGGGCACCGGGACCCCCCGGAGCAGCCCCGCTCCCCACCGGGGCCGCCCCCGCCCCACCCCGCCAGGGCCCGCGCCCATTGGCTGAGCGCCGTGACGTCAGCGGCTGCGGCATCCCCCCCCCGGGGCACCGCCCAGCCCGGGGGGGACACGGGGGGACCGAGGGGACAGCCCCCCAAAACGCGGAGGGCTGCGTGGGCTGGGAAGGTGCTCCGCGGGGTCCCCTGGCTCGCTGGGGCAATTCCCGGTGTCGCCCCCCCCGTTCCGGGCAGGGCTCCGGGACACCGTGTGCCCCCCGCCGGGAAGAGCTGCTCATCCCAAACCCTCACGCAAGGGAGTTAAGGAAAGCGGGGTGCCAGCCCTGCCCGAAAGCACCCCCCCTCCACCCCAAGGTGCGTGTCCCCCCCTCATTCCCGCTCCTTCCAGCTCCACACGTGTTTACAGCAGCGCAGAAAGGAAAAAAAAATAGAGAGAGAAAGGGGGGAAAAAAAGAAAAATAAAAGAAAAAAAGAAAAAAAAAAAGAGAGAGAAAGAAAGGAAAAAAAAAAAAAGAAGAAGAAAAGAAAAAAACCAAAACCACCCCGCAGCGGATTCCTGGAAGAAAAATCCATCAAGGGCCATTAGGCTCCGGCGGCTCCTCCCCGCAGAGCGGGGGCACGGGCGGGGGCAGGGGCGGCACCCAGGACGGAGCTGGGCACTGCCCAGGCCTGATTTCCCCTGGATCTCCTTCCCCAGCAAGGGGTGGGCCCGAACATCCCGGACCCCTGTTGCAGGAGGGGAGCAGTAGAGGGGATCCCCCACACTGATCCCACACACTTTCCCCCCAAACTGCCTTCACTGCCCATTTTTAGCGTGTCCAGCCCCGAGGAGCAGGAGCCAAGAGCTCCAGGCAGAGGATTAAACCTGAAATCAGGGAATAATGAACACCCTGGGAATGAGAGGGACACACGATACCACCCTGCACCCCAAAATTCCCAGAGGACACCCCTGTATCCCATCCTGATCTGGACAACACCCCACTCCCCTGCCTGGAATCCCTCATTGGACAGATTCCATCATGGGGTTTGCAGGGAGGATCCTGAGAGAGATCCGGGGCTCTGGGAGGGAGCCCCCATTTCCCTGGAGCAGGAACATTCCACAGGGAGGGAGAAGGGCCTGCTGCCACAGCCACGAGCCCTCTGGCCAAGCGGGGGAAATTCCCGTGCTGGATGCTGTGGGAAGAAGTGGGATTGGGGCTGGGGGTGTCACCCAGCCCAGAGTAGGTGACAGAAAACCCATGGGGCTGACAGGGTCCCCTCACTGCCACCCTCATGGTCCTTCTCCCCAGGGAGGGCAGCCAGGTCCCCCAAAACCCCTCACCCAGAGCACCCCGTGCAGGGCTGGGGCTGCAAGGAGCAGCACAGAGCACATTCCCCTGGGAGCCTCCATGGGGACAGGGATGGAAAAACAGAGAGGAGCAGCCCCAGCAAGGGCTTTAACACCTGGGAGGAGGGTGCTGGCTGTGGGTGTCCCAGTGGGAAGCCGGGTGGGGCAGGCCTGCCCCTTGCACCCACCTGGGGCTCACTTCCAGAGTCTCCCAGGGATCTGACCCTGGACACTCAACCCACTTTTCCTAGCAAGAAACATGGAAAGTCTGTGAGGAGGGCAAGCCCTGCTCTGCAGCAACCAAAGCACCCATGTGTGATCCGTGGGAGTCCCATCTTGAACCCAAAGCCAGCTGCTGGGAAGGAAGGAAGGAAGGAACCCTCTTGTCGCAGCTGAGATGGCCACGATATGCAGAGTATCACCACACAATTTCAGAAGCCTCCAACCCATGCACAGCAAGAGCATTCTACTTCAGAAGGCTTCAGGTGTCTGTCCACACAAAATAACATCCCATCACCTCAAAAGGCTTCAGGCACCTACCCATCCAGAGTAACACCTCACCACTTCAGAAGGCTTCAGGCACGTGCCCATGCTGTTCCCTAGCCCAGCCTTTTATCCCCTCGCGCTGATGCAGTGCCCCTGTGTGCCTCTGCTCCCTTTGGGGGTTGGTCAGTGCCCTGGGCACTCCATGGCTCACTGCTTTCAGTGCTGCTCACAGCTGTGCCACTGGGGATGGGCCACAGCCCAGCCCCACTCCCACACCACAAACTGTGTGCCTACAGCCCATCCCAGCCCCAACTCAGTTCTTTGGGGAAATGTTGATTTATTTAAAATAGAGCATCCTCAGAAGTATCTGAGCTGCCAACAGGGGCCTCATCCTGCTTGGAGGAGACCCCTGGAGATGGGGGAACTCCAGCTCGCGTTGCCTCTGGAGGATCTTCTCTGACACGGAGCAGCTTGGCCGCCCTGCCGTGCTGTGGGGGCTGTGGATGGGGTGCCAGTGGCTCCAGGACGCTTCCTGCTGTGCCGCCTGCTGCTGGGAGCTCCTCACGGGAGCAGGCCGGGCCCCCAGTTTCACTTCCAGGCTCTTCTTGGCCACGTGCATCCTGAGGGCCTCGCGGGCCCCGCTGATATCTGCGGATCCGGTGGAGCTCGGCGAGCTGTCCGAGGCCTCCTCCCCGTCCGGAGTCCGGCAGCTCCCGCTGGGGCTCTCGGAGCCAGGGAAGCTCTGGGAGGAGCGGGGCCACGCTTCCCCCAGCCCCAGCCGCTCCCGAGAGCGCCTCACTGCCATGGGCTGGGCTCTCAGCTTCACCTCCAGGCTCTTCCTGGCCACGTGCATCCTCAGGGATGAGCAGGGTCTCCTCGAGCCTGCGGCTGCCAGGGAGCAGCAGGACCTGTCCGCGAGGCCTTCCCCGGCGCTGAGGCTCCGCCAGGGATGGAGGCTCCCGGGGGAGGCGCAGCAGGGCAGGGGGCCTCGCTCCAGCAGCTGCTCCAGGTCCTGCCACCACAGCTGCCACAGCTCCGAGTCCCGCGGCAGGGACACCTCGGGCCACAGCGGCGTCACCAGGTCCTGCAGCTCGCGGGCCGCCGTCACGCAGGGGGTGCAGCAGGGCCCGCAGCCGCAGGGCATGTACGGGGGGCTCTCCGGGGCGGCCGGGCCCTGGGCAGGGCTCTCCTCAGCCCGGGGGGAACCGGGAGCCCGCGGGGCCGCTCGGCAGCACCGCGAGCCCCCGGCCCGGCCCCCGAGGCGCTTCCGCGCCTTCCAAACGCGGGCGGCCAGCAGGACGGCCGTGGTGGCCACCAGCAGGACAAGCGTGGGGAGCAGGACACTCATGGCTTCATCCGTGTCCCATCGTGGCCACACTGGGAGCCAGGCGTGGTGGCACGTGTGCTGTAGAGACACCGTGCTGATGTCACAGTGCTGCGGGGGGGACACCTGTGTGACATCACAGCCACGGCGCTCACCCCGTTTGTGACGTCACGGCCCCGGATCGCCCATCCCGAACCCAAACCCGGCGCCGTGCCAGCTGCTGGGAAGAATATGAAACCTATCCCCACAAACCCAGCACGCCAGCCCAGCACAAGGGCTGGCAGCACATCCAGGCCGCTTCCAGCGCCTCCCTCGGGACCCTCGGGGGTGTCCCCGCCGGCGACCCCCGCCCGGCTCGGGGCTGGGAATGGGATGCGCCGCGTTTCCCTCCGGAACTAATGTTCCTGCCGCGTTTCCCGGCCGGACCGCGGGCGGGGCGTGTTTGAGGACGGACCAATGGCGGCGCCCTTGCGGCACTTCCGGCGATGTGGCGATGGCGGCTCCCGGGGCCGCTCCGGGCCGGGGGAGGTCAGGGGGGCTTGGCCGCGCTCCGGGAGGCCGCCCGTGCCTTGTAGGGGGTTCAGAATGCCGGAGGGGGGATCCTGAGGATGGATTGGGGTTTGGGGGATGAGGATCTTTATCTCAGGGTGGGGTGTGGAGCTGGGGGATAAATGGATCAGGGATTGAAGCACGAGGATCTCTATCCTGAAGTGGATTTTAAGGCTGGGAGCATCCTGAGGGATCCACAGATCAGGGTTTGGGACATGAGGATCTTTATCTCAGGGTGGGGTGTGGAGCTGGGGGACAAATGGAACAGGGTTTGAGCCATGAGGATCTCTATCCTGAACTGGATTTTAGGGCTGGGAGCATCCTGAGGGATTCAGGGTTTGGGAGATGAGGATCTTCATCCCAAGGTGGGGTTTGGAGCTGGAAGCGTGGAGCTGGGGAACAAATGGGTCAGGGTTTGAGCCACAAGGATCTCTATCCTGAAGTGGATGTTAGGGCTGGGAGCATCCTGAGGGATCCAGGGATCAGGTTGGAGACAGGAGGCAGAGTGTGGGTGAGCTCTTTATTGAGGAGGAAGGCTCCAGCATGGGTGGCTGCACATCCAGGGAGCTCCAAGCACTGGGAGAGGCTCCTCCGGCCGCCCCGGCAGGGCAGAGCCCTGTGTCCCCCCCAGAGGGACACGGCCCCTCCGGCCGCTCCGTGCCACCCAGGAGGGGCTGCTTGTCACAGCGGCCACCCACTGTCACCTGAGTGGAGGAGGAGGAGGAGCAGGGGCCTCGGCGCTGGGAGGGCAGCAGGGAGCGCAGTGGGTGGGCTCCACTCCTCCAGGGACACGTGGGATGTCCTCAGGGCTCCGGGGATCAGGGCTGGGCCGGGCTCTCTCCCCTGGATCATCCAGGCAGGGGGGCAGGAGGGGGAAAGGCCACCTGTGACACGGAGGTGACACTCAGCTCCCAGTGCTGTCACCATGCCCATCCCTCCCCAGCGTGGCAGCCCGGGGACACTCGGGGTGAATCCAACCCCGGCAAGGCCCGAACCCCCTCCCTGGGACTGGGGGGTGCCAGGGACCCCCTGTGCCACCCGCAGCCCTGTCCCTGTCACCTGGAGGGCAGCGGGAGGGGGGCTCAGGCGAAGATGCTCGCGATGCTGGATGCCAGGATGATGGCGAGGATGATGCAGCACAACATGATCATGATCTTCTTCTGCTCGGGGAGACAGGGAGCGTGAGGCAGGAACACAGCCGGGGAGGGGACAGGGACAGGGGATGGGCCGGGGAGGAGGACAGGGGATGAGGATCGGGCTGGGGAGAGGGGCAAGGAATGGGGAGTGGGACAGCAAGGACAGGGGCAGAGCAGTGGGGAGAAAGGACAAGGACAGGGGCTGGGGAAGGTGGCAGGGCAGGTGTGAGCTGGTTCTGTGTGGCACACCGAGGTGACAGTGCCAGCGTGCCCTGGGACAGGTGACCAAACACCGCGACTTACCCAAAAACTTGGTGGGGGGGGGACAGTCTGGACAGGGCCCGGGAGCTGCGGGTATCCCCAGCCCTGAGCTGCCTCCTCGTGTCCTACAGCACCGGGAAACGGGGCCGGTCCGGCCCCCAAATGCCCGGGCACCGGGAGCCGAGCCGGAGCCGTGCCGGCGGCTTTGGGCGTTCCCGGTGCCAGCACCGAGAGGAGGCACAGGGCGGGATCAGCGGGATTTTATTACAGCGGGAGTTAAATATCCATGACCAACACATCCTCCCGCCCGGACATCAAAGCCAAGAGGAGACGGGGACCCCGACGGCTCTGTCTGTCACAGCACGGTGACAAGAAACCACGCTGGTGCCGCCAGACCCCGCGTCCTGTCCCTATTCCCGCCCTCATTCCACCGGGATGCCCGCGTGGGTGGGAGTCCGGCCCTCGGATCTGTGTCCTTGTCACTCCTCGCTGGGGCTGAGGCACGGATGGAATCCTGTCCCCTTCCGTGGGGACACGAGGGGCAGATCCCAGGGAAAGCAGGACGGGCGGGAATGGCGGCGCTGCTGGAGCCCGCGGCGGGAACCGGGACACGGAGGGCGGGGAGCAGCAGGGAGAGGAGGGGTCCAGGAGCAGAGCCGGGGAGCATCCCGCCGGGAGGTGACATCGCTGGGATGGCGGCGGGAGCGTCTGGAGGAGGGAAAGGGGAGCTGGAGGAAAGGGAACGGGGACTGCAGCAGGAAGGGGGGAGCAGGGATGGCAGAGATGGATGTGGGCAGGAGACAAAATCCAGAGCCTGGAGCAACACAGACCCCCAAGGAGCACCTCAAGCACTGCAAACCCCCAGAAACGCAGACCCCAAACAGCACAGACCCCTGAGCACCAGAGACCCCAAGCACTGCAGATCCCCAGCACCGCAGAGCCGAGATCACCAAAGCCAGAACGCAGCGTCCCCAGCCCCATAACAGCCCCAAAGCCCAAAGCACTGCAGCCCCCAAAGCAGGAGATGGCACTGGGATCCCCCTGGGCTCTGTGTCCCCGCAGTGGGGGTCCCCTGCCCCCCAACACTTACAGACCCCCGCCCCAGGGGCTATTTCATGTTCAGCCCCACCGAGAGTCCAATGATGAGGGCAACTGTCCCCAGCAAGAGCACGGCCACTGCCACCAAAGTCAGCAGCTTCTGGGGGAACAGGGGCGAGTTGGGGATGGTGACACCTGTCCCATGACAGGGGGACACGGGGGCACCGAGGTGCTGCAGAGCCCTGGGGATGGGACAGGAGGGGCTGAGTCCTCACCAGCTCATCACACCTGAGGGTGGGAGGGGGCTCAGGGGGGGCAGTGGGACAGAGAGGGACAGAGGTGCCAACCTCCCATGGAGCCACTGGGGGGAGGTGGGAATTATTTGGGTCAGCTGAGGGATATTGGGGGTGGCTGAGGGGGACAGAAGGGAAATAAAGGGATCTCAGGGCTGCTGGAGGATATGGGAGGTGCTGGGAACACTGGGATGTGAGGGCACTATGAGGGCCAGAGGGGATAGCACTGGGGGTACCTCTGGGGTGCTGGGGGCTACAGAGGGGACATTGAGGGGTGCAGAGGGCACACTGGGGGCTAGGGAGGGGACAAGGGGCTGTCGGTCTGTCTCACCCTCCTGGCCTCACTTTGGTACTTCACAGCCTTTTTGGTGTCGGCCACGGCCCGTTCCACGAACCCCACGGACTGGTCCATGTTGTTCTCTATGCGGTCAATCATGGCTCCCTACGGAGCACCCGGGGGACACAGAGAGAGGGGGGGACACTGAGAGCACCCCGGGGTGCTGGCACCCACCCACCTGGCCCCGGCACCGGCTCATCTCCGTGCTCTGCTCCACGTGCTCGGCTCCGCGTTATCCAGCAGCCCACCCTGGGGGAGAAGGGACAGGGTCAGTGGGGACACGGTGACACAGCCCCACAGCAGGTGGCATGCCCGCACACAGGTACTCACCCATCCCCGGGGCACGCAGCAGCTCCTCGCGTGGCATGGGGGACAGAGAGGGGCTGAGAGAGGGGACGGCACCGCCACAGGGTGGGGGACACTCCTGTGTCCCCTCCAGCCACCACGGGGTGGTGGGTGGCTCCATGGGAACACGTGCAGTGGTCACCACCCCAGCCCCTATCGCTCCATGCCTGGACCCCCCCGTGCAGGTCCCTGTGACCCCACACTCGGGTCCCTGCTTGTCCCTGGTCACCCTGCGCACAGGTCCCTGTGCGTCCCCATACGTGGGTCCCTGCCCATCCCTGTGACCCTGTGCCCAAATCCCTCATGGCTCATGTCCATGTCCCCATACACAGGTCATCCCTGTGACCCCTGTCCTGTTCCTGCTTGTCCCCATGCTCAGGTCCCTGTCACACATTTCTGTGTCCCCATACCCGGGTCTCTGCCTGTCCCTGTGACCCTGTGTCAAGGTCTCCGCTTGTCCCCGTGGCCAGGTCCCTGTGTGTCCCCGTGTCCCCGTGGCCAGGTCCCTGTGTGTCCCCGTGTCCCCGTGGCCAGGTCCCTGCGTGTGCCCGTACCTGATTCTCCACCAGCATGGCGATGTCCACGAACATGTCGTGGAGCTCCTTGATGCTGCTCTCCAGGCGCACGATGTCCTTGTGCCGCCCCTCGATCTCGCTCAGCGCCTGCTTCGAGATCTGCGAGTCCATGATCTGCAGGGACAGGGACACCTCAGCGGGGAGGCCTGGCCCTGTGACACATCCCGTGTCCCCTGGCGTCCCCCGCGTCAGGGCTCACCCCCGAGGTGAAGATGGAGGGGTTCCCACTCTCCAGCATCTCCTCCAGCTCCTCGTCCGTCGTGTTCTTGCCGGCTGCAGGCACGAGGGGAAAGGTGGGAACGAGCCCCGCCCAGTCCGGGTAAGGGGTGGGGCATGAATGGCTCCTCCCATTTGACTATATTTGGTCAAATGGGCGTGGCCAGTGTGAGTTGGCTCCTCCCACTCCATGGAGGAGGTGGGTTTGATGCGGGGGTGGTCACGCACTGATTTCCAACTGGCGCTGGATCCGGCCCTTGCTCCGCTCCCGGAAATCCACCTGCGCCTCGTTGTACTTGGTCATGACGTCCACGAACTTGCGGGACAGGACCGAGTGCTGGGGACAGGGACATGAGAATGGGGACAGGGACTTTGGAATGAGGACACCCAGGGCATGGTGTGACCCTGGGGGACTGGACCTGGTCCTGGGAATGGGGACATGGAACGCCCCAGGCATGGCATATCCCCATGGGCCACTTCCACGGGGGACAGGAGCGAGGACAGAGGTGTGACACTGCCCAGGGGACAAGATGAGGTGCTGGTGGTGGGGAGGGGAAGTCAGATCAGTGACGCTCTGTGCATGGCGTGCTCCTGGTCCCAGGATGGACAGGACAATGCGCTGGGAGTGGGGACAGCGGCAGGAGACCCAGGGGACCCCGGAGGTAGCATGTCCCAGCAGAGGGTGACGAGACAGAGTGCTGGGGCAAAGGGACACACAGCCTGGGATCACAGAGTGCTGTTGGGGATAGAACTGGGAGACTTGCGGATGCCTGGACATACCACAGGGACAGGGTGGGACCTGGGAACACTGGCTGTGGGCTGGAGCTCACCTGGGACTTGCGTATCCGGAGGTCGGCGGAGGATCGTGCCTCGTCCTGCTCGATGTTCCTCTCCATACCTGGAGAGAAACAGGCCTCAGCCCACCAGGAACTTTTCCCACTGCCAGCCCCCATGATCCCAGAGTCCCAGGGGGACAGGGACAGCCGTGACGCGGCGGTGGGGACAGGGCCACTCACTCTTCAGCTTGTTACGGACGCTGTTGGCCATTTTCTTGATCTCTGCCGTCAGCTGCTCCAGGTCATCTTTGGTCTCTGCGGGATCACGGGTGTGAGCCACCGTGGGAATGTCCCCAGGGAGGGTTCCCGTGACCAGGGGAGGCCGTGGGGACACTGTGGCAGCACTCACTCTGCTCTGGGATGGGGGCTGAGAGGATGATGCTGTAGAGCTTCTTGGCCTCCTCCACGTTCTCTGAGATCTTGTCGATGTTCTGCCGGGTCTCCTCAATCTGGGCACGCCCGGGAGGATTTTGGGGGGTTAGGAGGCAGCCCTACACCCCCCAGCCCCGCTCCCAGCCCTCCCTCACCTCCGAGAAGAACTCATCCATGAAGGCCGTGTTGTCCACGGCGATCTCCAGCTCCTCCTCGTCGTCCGCATCCTGCTTCTGTTGGGACACGGCGCTCAGGGGGGGCCCCGTGCCCGGCCAGCGCCCCCCAGGGCCCCCCCGGGGGTGACAGGGACACGGGGGGAGCAGCCATGGCGCTGTGGTGGCACAGGGGGGGACATCTGCAGTGGGGGAGAGCAGGGGGGGCTGAGCCCAGCTCACATCTGGCCACACGTGGCCGGGAATTAAGGGATTGCTGGGCTTGGCCAGAGGGAGGGAACGGGGACAGCCGTGGGATGGGCACAGGACAGGGTTTATGTCCCAAACCGTGGCCCCACGGCGGGCCTGGGGCAGCCCTGGGGGGCACGAAGGTGGCTGGTGCCCCTCACCCTGGGGTCGTGCCCAGGCCCCCACCCATGTGCTCCCAAATCCAGCCCTTCCCAAAACTCATCCTCAGCCCTTCCGCCTCCCCTCACCCCCTCAGCTCCAGCAGCACCCCGGGGGTGTTGTTGGGGTGTCCTGGAGATGGGGACAGACCCCAGTCTGGGACCCCCCACCCCCCTCCTCCTGCTGCTGGAGTAAAAATAAAATTAATCCCTTCGCTCCCCCCCGAGGGCTTTATCTGATGGCTCCATAATCCCGGTAAATCCCTGCCAAGCCTCCCTGCCATGCCTCGGGGCCCGGCCGCGAGCTGTGGGCCTGCCGGGACCCCCACGCTCCCTGGGGAGCAGGGGGAGCCCCCCAGGAGTGGGGGGAAGGGGGGCCCCAGGTGGAGCGGGAAAAGGGAGAAGGAAGCGGCGCTGGTGGCGGGAACAGGGGAACTGTGGGGTGCACGGTGGGGAACTGTGGGGTGCACAGTGGGGAACTGTGGGCACCCCAAATCCACCGCTATCCCCACGGGATGGACACCCCCCAGGCCGGGGGGCTGCTGTCCCCCCATTGCACCCCACGGGGCGCGGCTGGGGGGGTCACGTCACCCCAAAGCACCCAGCGTGCCCCCAAAGCACACGGGGATGGCACCCCCAGTCCCTCCCAGCTGCCAGCCCCGCTGTGGGGAGGCTCAGGGTCCCCACCCGCCGTGGGGTGACCCCCGTCCCTCCCAGCTGCCAGCCCCGCTGTGGGGAGGCTCAGGGTCCCCCCACCTGCCGTGGGGTGACCCCCATGGCACCCCACGCACAGCAGGGGGGTCTCGGTGCCATCCATCCCGTGGTGTCACCACGGACTGGGGTGTCCCCGAGACCCCAGCCCTGCGTGGGGTGGGCTCTGAGGCACCCCCATCCCCGAGACACCCCCACGCCCCGCAGGGTGGCATTCCGGTGACATCCCCCCCGTGACGTCCCCATCCACCACGGACTCGCTTTTTGGGGTCCCCCCTCCCCGCGATGCCCCCGCCCACCCTGGGGCGGGCTCTCGGGGACCCCCATCCCGTGTCACCCTCTCCCTGGGGGGCTCCCTGGGGGTGTCCCCTGTGCCCTCCCCACGCCGGGGGTCCCTCACCGCCTTGAGCTGCTCCAGCCGGTCCTTCATGGTGCCCCCGGAGGCTGGGGGGGCGCGGGGGGCTCCCCGTGCTGGCCCAGCGCAGGGATGGGGGATGTCACCCTCGCTCCTCGAGCCCCGCCAGGCCTCCTACATCCAGGCGGAGTGGCGGCTGGCCCTGTCCCCCGTGCCTGTCCCCGAGCCCGGGCTGTCCCTGCGCTAATCCCCAGTGACGGGCACGGGGAAGGCGCCGAGGGGAGGGACGGGGTGGAGCCGCCTTCACCTGGGACACACGGGGACGGCGGACGGGGGTGGCCCCCGGGCACCCCGGGAGGTGACCGAGCTGGGGGACGATGTGGGGTGGCAGCCATGAGGAGGCTGGTCCCCCTCGGGGGTCACACGGTGAGGACGTGCCACCCACCCCCTGCCACGTGTGGCTGCACGGGAGCACGGCTGGGGACAGGAAGCACGGCTGGGGACACGGCTGGGGACAGGGAGCACGGCTGGGGACAGGGCTGGGGATGCGGGGCACGGCTGGGGACACGGCTGGGTTCGGGGGACACAGCTCGGGGATCCAGGCTGTGGACAGGGGTCACATCTGGGGACACAGCTGGCGGCGGGACGCAGCTGTGGGGACACGGCTGGACATGAGCAGGCACAGGGGACAGCTTGAGGACATGGCTGCAGTGAGGGGACACAACGAGGGTCGTGACTGGGGACAGGGGTCCCGGCTGGGGACAGGGGACACGGGTGGGGGACATGGCTGTGGATGGGACACAGCTGGGGACAGGGCTGGGCGGGCGCTGCGGGGGCTATGGATGGGGTGGCCTTGGCTGTGGGCGGCGTGGCACTGGGGGGCATGGCGGGGGACATGCGGGTGGCACCGCTGTGCGCGGGACAAAAAGGGACGCTGCCCCTTTAAGAAACACTAGAAAGGGGGCGTGGTCTATACTAGGCGTGGCTCCGTTGGCCCCGCCCCACGCGCGCCGGTGGGCGGGACACGGGGCGGTGGCGGTGGGTGACGTCATGCGGCTGCGCCCGCGGCGGCGCATGCGCGGCGGGGCCCGGGGCCTGGTCGGGCTGGGGGTGCCGCTGGGTGGGTGGGGGGTGTTCGGTGGGTGCAGTGGGCTGAGGGGCCGTCAGGGCGGCGCAGCGGGGCTGACCCCGCTCCCGGCTCTCCCAGTCCCTGGAGGACTGCCCGCTGGACGAGGATGAGGACGCCTTCCAGGCCCTGGGGGAGGAGGACGAAGACATCGACCAGTTCAACGATGACACCTTCGGCGCCGGGGCCGTCGGTGAGGCCCGGAGTGCCACCCGCAGACCCCCCTGACCCCGCGGGCGGCCCCGGCCCGCGCCCCTCACCCTGTGCCCCCTCGCAGATGACGACTGGCAGGAGGCCCACGAGCGGCTGGCGGAGCTGGAGGACAAGGCCGGCTCGAGCCGGGAGCCGGACGGCCCCGCTGGGAGCGACGGGGACGTCCTGGGCGACCCCGAGGACGCGCTGGCCGAGCGGCTGACGCGCCTGGTCATCGACAGCGAGCTGGAGGACCCGGCCATCATGCAGGCCGTGCACACCAGGGACCCCCCGCAGGTGGGACGGGCTGGGGGAGCCGGGGGGGCGCGGGCACGGAGCCCGCAGCGCCGCCCTGACCCTGCCTGTGCTCCGCAGCAGCCTGCGGGGCTGAATTCCAGCATCTGGGACAGCTCAGCCGTGCTGCGGCGCATCCGGGGGCCGCTCCTCGCTCAGGTAGGGCGCTGGGGGCACGGGGCTGCTCCCTGCTGATCCCCAATGCCAGCTGGGTGGGATGGACTGTTCCTGGGATGCTGGGGTGTCCTGCTTCCCTCCGCTGCGTCTGTGGCTTGTGGGGGACCCTCACAGCTGTCACCTGCTGTCCCCCCTCGCACCCTGGAGGGCTGGGATGGTGGAGTGTTGCTGTTTTGGGATGCCCAGTGATGTCTGAGGGATTTCAGGGCTCCCAGCTGGATTTGGGAATGTTGATGCCTGGAGGCAGAGGATTTTTGTGTTGTTGTGGTTTCATTAAGAGTCAGGCTTTGAAGTGCTGCGTGTCCAACCCTCTCCTGGCTCTGCCGGGCTGGGAGGTGACCCAGAATTCCCGCCCCACGCCCTGTTATCCCAAACGGCAGTGCGTGTGTGCTCCGGGAATGCCCAGCATTGTGTGGAGATCCCAGGGAAGCACGGGGGGAGGTGGAGAGCTGGCGGGAGGAAGGGAGGACACTGACCCTCCTCCGTGTGGCTCCAGGGGGGTGTCCCGCCTGTTTTCCTGCAGGAGATGCCCTCGGTGTCCGTGCTGGACTACGCCCTGCCGCAGAGGCCCGCGCAGGCTCGGGATGAGGAGCGGGACCCGTCGGAGCGGGCGCTGCCGCGGCGCTCCTCCTCGCCCGTCATCGGGAGCCCCCCGGTGCGGGCCATCCCCATCGGCACCCCCCCCAAGCAGCCCGCCATCCCAAACTTCAACCAGCAGGTATCTCCTCGCTTCCCGCTGCTCCCAGGGGTGCGAGCTGCTTCCCGAGGGGGTGACTGTGCCACTTGGCTCCTCACAGATCCTGTGTCCCAAGCCTGTCCACATCCGAGCTACCATGCAGCAGCGTTATCCCGCTCCCTATGGAGAGAGGATGTCCCCCAACCAGCTCTGCAATGTTCCGGTATCCAGCTTTCCCTCCTCCCATCTTTTTGGGGATTGATGACCAGCCTTCCCAAATCCTCCCTGCGTTCCTGTGGCTCGTCCCCACCCCATGGAGCTTGGCCTTCCTGGGGTTTGTCCCGTCTGCCAGTTGTGGTCTGTGACTGGGGTCCCTTTTCCCAACTCTTTCCCCAGAATTCCTCCCTCCTGGGCCACCCGTTCCCCCACAGCGTCTCTCCCGTTCTCACACACCTGCAGAGAGCCCAGCTGCTCGGAGGAGCCCAGGTAAAGCTCCTTGCTGTGCTTTATCCCACCTTTCTCTCTGCCTGGCTCTGGGACCTGGCACTCCACGGCTCTTGCTGGCCATCCCAGATCCTCTTCCCGCCTGCCTGACTCCAGGCGTCCTCTCTGCCCCTCCAGGCCGGCCGAATGTCCCCCAGCCAGTTTGCCCGGGTGTCCGGGCTGGTGGGGAGCCCGCTGCCCTCGGTGAACCCCAAGCTGCTCCAGGGCAGAGTCGGGCAGATGATGTCCCCGGCCGGAGGGTTCCGTGCCTTTTTCGGGGCTCCCCCCGCCCCGCCCCCCTCGCAGCTGCCGCACCCTCCGGGCCCCGGATCCCACCTGCAGAACCTGAGGTCGGTGCCGTCCCTGTCCTGGCGTCCCCCACGCTCCCCGCGTCCCCCCGTGACCGTTCCCGCTGTCCCCAGGCCGCAGCCCCAGGCGTTCCGGCCGGACACGACCCACCTGCACCCCCAGCACCGCCGGCTCCTGCACCAGCGGCAGCAGCAGAACCGCAGGTGAGTGCGGGCACGGGGACGGGCCCGCGGCGCGGGGACGTGTCCCGCTTCCGGGGTCACCTGTCCCCCCTCTCTGTCCCTTCCTGTAGCTCCGGTGTGCTCACGGGTGCCCTTCTTCTCCTGCCAGCCAGCACCGGAGCCTCAACGGCTCCGGGGGGGACCGAGGGGGCCACCGGAGCAGCCATCAGGAGCAGATCCGTAAGGATCCCTACG